CTGGGACATTGAGTTGTGTTCTTGGGCAAGACACTTTACTCTCACAGTGCCTCTCTCCACCCAGGTGTATAAATGGGTACCGGCGAACTTAATGCTACAGAAACCGGGCCACTTGGCTCGCACGCAGGCTTTACCTTTACCTATCCCTCTGGGCCACTGGGTCTTGTTGGAGTCTTCATGGGAGATCTCTGACGATTCGGCTCGGGTGGACGACTAGGTCCGGTTGGCGTGTTCACAAGAGACTGCTCAGGTGGAGACTGGGAACTAGGTGGCACCACATGGGAGGAAGGAACATAGCGTACATTGTAGTTGGTCACTGCAGGGCAAGTAAGTTTAGCAGGAGCCAGTTCTGGAACGGACAGGAGATGTCTTCTGTTTCTACAGTACTCCTTTCCTTCAGCTTCCACAATGTACGACTGTGGCTGCGGAGTGGGTTGCTTGACGACGCCTACTTTCTGGTACCCTGTCAGTCTGAAGTCGCACAACTTGCTATGAACGGAGAGGTAGGAGAGGTTTGGCATGCTGATCGTGGTGTGACTTTTGCTGTTGGCGTTTAAGCTTCAAACGTGAAGAGATGTGCCTGGTGTTGAGTGCTTTTGGAATAAGGAGTTTCCTTGCAACAGGAAGGACACATCTGGTACGCCTCGACATCAACCGCTGAGCAGGAGAGCCTAGGACTTGATCCCTTGGAACATTCCTGAGGTTAAGAAGGCCGAGCAAGGGGTCGGAACCATCCTTCTTACACTTCTCAAGCAGGCTCTTGGTTTGTTTGACTGCATTCTCCGCAAAACCGTTGGACTGAGGAAAGTAGGGGCTGCTAGTAACACGCTCAAAGCTCCATTTGCTGGCAAAGCTTTTGACTTCCCTACTCGCAAATTGTGGACCATTGTCCGTTAGCAACTTGGATGGAATTCCATGAACAGCAAAATGTTGTTTCATCTTCGTGATCATGCTTCTCGATGATAAGTCGCTGAGAGTGCTCATCTCAAACCAACCGGAGTAGGAGTCAATGAGTATCAGGTACCACAGTCCACTCCAGTTAAATATGTCTGTGCTCACAGAGGACCAAGGAGGCCTGGAACAGGGTGAATGACAACCGGTTCTTTCTGCTGGTGGGTTGAGCACTGTTGCAAGGCTGGCAAGACGCTATGTCAGAATCGATATCGAGCATCAAAGAAGGCCAATACATGGTTTCTCTTGCTCTCCTCTTTGTAGCATCCATTCCAGGATGCCCCTTGTGGAGTTGCCTAAAGTACTCCTCACGCAATGTCTGTGGAACCACAACTCTCAGGCCTTTCAAGATGACTCCATGGTCCATGATAAGCTCATCTCTGATTGGAAAGTAAGGCTGTGCCTCTGGGGGTACACTCTTGGACTTTGCTGGCCAGCCATTAGAAATGAAATGGGTAACTTTCTGCATTACAGGATCTGCAAGAGGGTGTTTCTGAAGTTCAGTCATACGTGCTGGAGAAATTGATGTAAGGGAGAGGATTTCAACCTGCTCATCCACGTCTGGATCAGATTTCTGGTCGATGTAGGAGCATGACAACATGTCTGCGACACAAAGTTCAATCCCTTTCTTGTAGACAAACTTCAAATCATACTTCTTAAGCTGCAAAAGCATATGCTGAAGACGAGCAGGGGCTGAATGAAGAGGCTTGTTTACATTTGCTGTGAGAGGCTTGTGATTGGTCTCGATAGAAGCTTGCCGACCATAGATGAAATCATGGAACTTTCTACATGCAAATGTGGCAGAAAGCAGCTCCTTCTCAATTTGTGCATATCGAGTTTCGGCCTCCATTAGGGCTCATTAGGCATAGGCCACAGGGTAACCATCCTGTAAGCACACAGCAGCAAGACCACTCTTTGAGGCTTTGACAGACAGCGTGACAGGCTTTGAGGGGTTGAAGAACCTCAGGACCGGAGGTTGGGAGATGGCTGCCTTGAGGGCATCAAAAGCTTGTTGCTGTGCTGGCTCCCAACTCCAGTGTACGTCATTCCGCAGCAATTCGCGTAGTGGCGCTGTCTTCTCACTGAAGTTGCTAATGAACTTGTGGAGATAATTGGTAATTCCAAGAAATCGACGCAGTGCCTCTGGCCCATCCGGTGTTGGCATTTCTTTAATAGCTGCAACTTTGGCTTCATCAGGCTTGAGACCGCAATTTGTGAACTGATGGCCAACATAGGATACTTGGTTGAGGCAAAACTTGCATTTCTTTGGAGCTAGTTTCATGCCGACTTCTCACGCTCTTTCTAGCACCTTCTTCAAGTTAACATCATGGTCTGCTGTTCCCTCGCCCCGTACTAACAGGTCATCAACGATGATAGCACAAGGGTACCCAGCAAACGCCTCTTCCTTCGCATGTTGGAAGACTTCTGAGGAAGAAGCGATGCCAAACGGCATGTGCAGAAAGCAGAATCTTCCAAATGGTGTACTGAAGGTTGTGAGTAGTGAAGATTCATGATCAAGTTTTATTTGCCAGAAACCACTTCTCACGTCAAGGGTGGAGAATACTGTGGTATTGGGCATACGTGATGCAAGATCTTCAAACGTCCTAATAGGGTGATGGGGCTGTTTAAGGGCTTTATTGAGATCCCTCGGGTCGATGCAGATGCAAATACTGCCATCTTTCTTCTTCGCTGCTACCATTTGTGAGACCCACTCAGTTGCTTCAGACACAGGTGTGATCGCTCTAATCTTGACCATCCTATCAAGCTCTCTTTTAACACTCTCCTCCATTGCAAGGGGTATTCTGCACGATGGTCTGATCACAGGGGTTACATTGGCATCTAGCCTCATTTTGTAAACAACGGGTATTTTGCCAAGATCGCCTTGAAATAAATCTTTGTATTCGTCACGTATTGCTGCACAGAAGGCATCAGTGTTATTAACCTCATGGACCACGCCGTGCAGCTGAATGAGATTCAAGCTTAAAGAGTCCGTGAGACCAAGCAATGGTGTTACTGGTTTGTCGATGATGTGAAATTCCAGGTTACAGGACATCGACTGTAAATGAACTTCGGGCTTCACACTGCCCTGGGTAGTTAACGTGTCCCCACCATAGGCAACCAGCTGTACTGGTTTCATCTTATTAATCTTCTCATTGCGGCTGATCCTTTTGAATATATCGAGTGTGATCACATTACATTTAGCGCCAGTGTCAATTTTAATTTCAACTGGTTCGCCGTTGATTTCCATTGCGCAGTAAATTTCACTTTTCTTTCCTGGCTTGGACATAATCACATCGATAACAAATAAATCCTCATTTTGTCGGATAGGACACTGTGGATCGACCGTTTGGACAGAACACCTGGGACGCCATCAATGATCTCGAGTGCTTGAACACCTGCAATCACGTTTAGAATGGCAAACTTCTTCGAAATGATTGGGCTTTCCGCAATGAAGACATTTCTTGCCAAACGCTGGACATGATTTCTGCTTCACTGCATGGTTACCACCACAATTCCTACAATGTTCGATACCAGGTTTGGAATCTTTCTTCAATAAACCTCCTTTGTCGAGACCATGGACCTCTTCCTTTGGATCGCTGACTTGGTTCGACGAGAGCTCGGTGTTGTTTCTGTCTGATAATTCGTTGGCAATGCCAATATCGATAGCGCGATCGAGTGTGAGATCCCGTTCTTTTAAGAGTTACTTTCGCACGTGCCGAGAGCTGACACCACATACAATTTTATCACGAATAAGCTCATCCTTCAAAACACCGTATTCACATGTATCTGCTAGGATTCTGAGATCAGCTACAAATGACTGAAACGATTCACCTTCTTTCTGGAATCGGGTGTTGAATTTGTGCCTTTCCATGATGACATTTCCACGAGGGTCGAGATTTCAGCAAATTTTCTTTTCAGCACTTCGATACTCTAGCGAGATTCTGCTTCGACTCGAACGGTTCCATCTTCGTTCAGCATAGCGGGAACGTAAGCAAAAGATTTATCCTTTTCAATCGCTTCTCTTCCTGCCAAATTCAAGAAGATGTACGCTTTGGTTCTGTCGTCCTTTTCTTCGTGAGCGGCGGCGATGAATATTTCCACCTCTTGGGCGAAATGTTTCCAGTTTAGCGCGACATTACCCTGGAAGCTCAATGGTTCGGGTTTTCGTAGACCATCTGCGATAATGCATCAGTCAGTTCCAGCAGTGCCCATCCCCCCCCCCCCCCCCCCCC